CTGGTACTGTTGTCTGTGTCTACAAGTTTGTTTGTTTTTCTTAATCCCTTCACTTTTTTCACCCAGCCCCTAAACCTCCTGACAGCTGTCAGTCCGTTCTCTGCACCTATGAGTACATTTCTATTTTGTTTATTTATTTTGTTCGTTAGATTCCACATGTAAGTGAAATCACATGGTATTTGTCTTTTATGAATCCAAAAAGAAAAGTGGAGGAAAATTTTATTTTTCACTCACTTTAGCTATAGTGCCCTTTGCTCCTATTTCATTGTTATGTTTATTTTTTTCCCCTAAAACCCAACTGATTTTTCCTGGCATGAAAAAAAGGTTGCCAGGAACCCTGCTATGAAGTCGAAGGTTTGAAGCAAGGGTGGTAACGAGTGCTGGTTCCCAAACGCAGGCCTAGTATTGTCAGGTGTTAAAAAAGAACAGTTGGACAATGAACAGGCCCCATTTTGGTTAATGCTTTAGTTGCAGCCATTCCCTCCGAAAACCAACAGAAAAGGTCCCGAGACAGGAATCTGGCCCCTTAAACTTGCCTCGTTTCATAGCTGTCAGGCTGCACTCGGCCTCTCTCCCCTCTGACTAATGAGCTGTGTGTGTCCTTCTCCTTCCAGCAGCAAGAAAGGTGGCAGCAATAAAGGCGTCATTTACAAACCGGCCCTCAGGAAGGAGGCGGAGGCCCACGCCTGAGGTCCTGGCGCTGCAGGCGCCGAGGGAGGACTTCGCTTTGGATGCTTACACGGCGGCTCTTTGGACACTTGAACTACCCGAAGGTTCTATGCAGCTCACCCCCCAAACACCCCAGACCCGTGGGGGCCTCTAGCTGGGTGCCCCCCACCCTGATGCTCGGCCTCCCAGGGCGATCGTGGATGGGAGAGCTCGCCCAGGAGCAGGAACTCGGAGCTGTGTGCTTCATCTGTGTGAGACCAGAGAGGTCTGGACTCTGGGGACACACCCCACGTCACCTGTGGGGGCTGTGATAATTGAACGTCACTTTTCTCCAGGGGTTCACTCAGGTGTGGTTTCTAAAGTCCTGGAAGGCCCGCTCCTTGTCCAAGATTTCACACCAGCGTGTGCGCATGTGCACCCTCTACTTCGTTGTGCTTTGGAGACTCAAGTCTTGCCTCAGGGAAGCCGGTGTTGTCTTCCTCCTGCTGTGACACGACCTTTAGTCTGACCTTGGGGGGGGGGGCGGAAGCACAGGGTCAAGGTGCCTGAGACAAAAGGAAGGGGATATTCTTTGAAAGATGGAAGAGGCATCTTCCCAGTCCTGTCCTTGGGGTCAGACACGCCGACTAGACTGCAGAGAGCATGGGAGACAAGGTCTGAGGAATCTTGGAAGCTGTGAGTGTGAGAAGGTCAGGCTAGGAAGCCCAAGCCCGACCGCCCGTCGCAGGGCAGTGAGGGTTTATGCTCCATAGAGTTTATCAATAATTGGGCTATCCCTTGAAAATGTGCTGTTGCTTTCTCTCTCCTGGAGCAGACGTGCATTCTGAGAACCTAGGAAACAGGCAGAAGCAAAGTGGTTGATGAGCTTTGTCCCTTTTGCCTAAATTTCATTTCTGCCTCCTTCGTGGGAGTGGGACTTGGCTACTTCTCTGACCCTGAGGATCGAGCCACAGCTTAGTTAAAAGATATTTCAAAGTATGACAGCAGGGAGTTATCTGTGCTGGGCTGGCAGCATGGGATGTAGGGACCAAACCGAAGGAATGTTCCAAAGATCCCTCATGGTCTTCCCCCCAAATCCCAAAGGCAGTTCCTGAGGAGACAACTCCTTCACTGTCCCCTCCGATGCAAGAGCCCAGGAGACCAGTGAGTCCCAGGCCCGAGGAGGGGCCCCACCGCAGCCTCTCAGGTCAGCACCTCCCAGTTCACAGAACCCGCGGGTTCCCAGCCTCATCTGACAGCATGGAATGTCCTCCTGAAGCACGGGTCCCTTCTGTCCTCTTTCCCTCCTGCTCTCCCTCTGACGCTCACAGGTCTTCGCCACTCTCTGCTCGCACGACTTCCCTAGTGACGCCAGCCCTGTGCCTCTGCGGCTCTTGTGCCTGGCGGAGTTACAAAGGACCCCGCGGCGCCTCGGAGACGTGGGTGCTCGCGGGGCCTCCGGCAGGGCTGGGGCCTGGGGTGGCCTCCCCT